AAAATTGTAATCATATTAATGAACGTTATCCCGTAGTATAATTAATGACATTTCCACGGTGTTTTTAATTAGATTGATTTAATTTTGTATAGATCAGTTTCCTTAACATAAGTTGATATTCATCGTTAGGCCATCAACATTTTAGATAGACTACAGAACATTTAAAAATAAAAACACTGAATAGTGTTGCTCTCAACCAGTGGCCGATTGTTTTTAGCGCCCCCCACCCCCACCATTATAAACATCCTCCGTACGGGTCTGATGCATGTATTATTATGAATACTGGAATTGTGACAGGTACCGCTGAAACCAGAAGAAAGCTAAAATAATGGAAATGGCAGCCATTTGAAATTTTAATATCTCAAAAATGTGTACAACATTTAGTTAACTGCTGTTGTCATTTTTATGAGTGGATTTCCAATTGAATACTGCATTTTAATGACATAAACTTACAATATTATTGACAATTTTAAGAAAAAATGGCGGCCATTTTGAAACTGCTGGCAACACCCCCCCCCCCCTTACGTATAAAAAAATGTATTTTTGGTTGGTTTTTTTTTTAGATGTTTATTCTACATCATTTCCAATTTTTTAAAAATATAGCAAAAAAAAAAATGCAACCAACCAAAGTTTGCTGTGTCTTTAAAATATAGAATTGTGATACTGTATGGTTCAGTACGGGTCTGCATGTAATATTATGAATACTGGAATTGTGACAGGTACCGCTGAAACCAGAAGAAGAGTGGCTTTTTATCCAATATAAGCCTACGATCATCTTGGACCAGAAAGAGCAGTGGCACTACCAGGCTTCCATGCTATTACCGGTTGTGATATTACAGGGCACACAGGCCTAAATGGTGTTTAAAAAAAAAAAAAAACAGCCCTTAAGATGTTTATGAAATCACCACCTCACGTTTTACATGCTTTGGCCAAGCTTGGGGAAGGGAATATATAATCTTTCAACGTGAGAACGGGACGCGAGGAGTTTTTGTGTAGTCGTCTCGGAACGAAGAAAGTATCTGCTAAAGATGCCTCAACTTTACGATGAAAAAGATTAAAAACTCTGCCAAACAATCAAGGTGTAGATAAGCTGCCACTAACTGCAGGAGCCTTATATCCTAGTATATATTGCGTGCACATCTGCAGGCCAATATATGGAGCCAGGATACTGTTATTCATCCAGAAATCCCTGATCCATGCAAACTGGGCTGGTTTATGGAAGATGGTAAATTGAAACCTGTCTTGTCAGAAAGCAGGCTGCCCCTGAAGCAGTTGTTGAGCTTATCAGATGTACCTGTTCAATAAGTACATGTTCAAATAATACAGCGAAGCGGAAGTGAGTACCTGCAACAATTTTCCATTGTTGTCTAGTGTTTCTGATTCATCAGACAGTGACAGTGATGAAGAAAGTGATAATGAGCATATTAATATAAAATCACTGATGTAGGTAAATGTAAGTAAATCGCAGTATCTAATATAGTTACAAAATATACACACGCACCCACACATTATATATATATATAT